GTAAAGAATCCATTTCCTGACTTTCTTCTGGTATCTTTTTTCACCCGCCAAAGTCTCCGTATTGGAAGTGTTTTGGGGAGTCAGTTGATCTCTTTGGCAACTGCGCGGTGGCCATGTCCTTATAGGTCGTTAGACAACTTTCAGTTTTTTTTATCGGAAGAGTCAGGTATTGATCGTGTTGGGACTACTGCAGTCTCACTGAAGTAACTATTTTGAGCATATCAAGCAATAATGCTCTTACTGTTTTACCACTTTCTTTTTGGATCGCTATCAACCGTACATCTGAGAGTTGAAGAATTTTGTGAAAAACGCGCACTGGCGGTTGCCTTGTGAGTAACAAATAGAACTTTTCTTAAAGTAGTTTGCAGGCTTGTTTTAAAGTTATTCTTGGTGAGAGGGTCACTTAGGTAAGTATATTTGGTCACATTTTAGTAGCTTTGTGAGAAAAAAATTTTTGCTCTCTCGAGATTGAGACCTGGATTTCGCGGGTAAAGAAGTTAATAATCAAAGGTTTTTTATGTAGGGGGAGAGGGAAAAGCGGGTGAGTTTCTTCAAACTCTTGTATAATTCTTTACTGAGTTTTTAATTTATGTCCGCAGAATTTATTGGACGGACGTCATTTTTAAAAAAAAAGTTTAGGCAACGTCAGATGACGCCGTTTCTAGTGTGTTGAATTGTTTGAACGGCATAACGAACCCTTCAGAAAAGGCATTGAAAATCAAAGATGAGGCAAATCAGTTCTTCAACGGTTGGTTTTATATTTTTTTCACTCTTCCTTGTCTGTTGAATCGTTTCTTTTCCCGTTGTTATGGACTTGTGAAGTTGCATAGTTTATACACTAATATCTTATTTTGATAACATGGCTCTGACAGTCGCTTTAGCTCACGTTTCAATCATCACAACTGTACAGCACTAGCGAAATAAAGTACTCATTATTGTACTGCAAATTCAGATCAAGCTTATGATGTTGCCATCAAATTGTACACTAAAGCGATTGAACTGGACAAGGACGTAGCTGTATTTTATGCTAATCGAAGTATGGCGTATTTGAAGAAGGAACTGTACGGTAGCGCATTGGAGGATGCAGAAACAGCATTACGGATCGATCCAAATTATATAAAAGCTTATTATAGGAGAGGAACTGCAAATATGGCTCTTGGGAAATTTAAGCTAGCTTTAAGGGATTATGATGCAGTTAATTTTTTTAGCTGTTGAGATGAAGTTTACTTTACAGTGCGGATTCTCTTTCTATTTTTTCTCTAAAAATACATGGACAAGATTGCTTAGTTTGCAAGATACAAAGAGGAGTTTTGACATTTTTTGCAGGTGAGAAAAGTTCGACCTAATGACAGAGATGCGGTGAATAAATATGTGGAATGTTCAAAAATTGTGAAGAGGTTAGCTTTTGAAAAAGCAATTTCGACTGAACATGAGAAGAGGAGTTGCGCAGATTCGATAAAATTAGAATCAATGGGTGAGCATGTAGTTCTTTTACAGTTTTTTGAATGTTTTAGAATTATTCATCAGCTACATTTACTTTTGAAATAATTTTAAGTGAAAGATTATTTATTTTTGTATTTTTTTTCTGTAAATAACGCTTTTAAAGAAGTCAAGTGTAGTACATCTTTTTGTTTTTTGTCTTATTTTTACGGATCAGTTATTTTTTAATGTTTCTTTCAATACATTTTGTTGTTTGATAATACGGCGGAAGTTCTACTGAAGTAATCTCTTCATTTACTGTTTATCCCCAGTTCTACCATTTTCTTTTACGTTTTTTTCTTATAACATTTTAGAAGTGGAGTCTTCTTATGATGGTCCCAGACTAGATAATGAGATCACTGCAGAGTTTATGAAAAGTTTGATTGCGACTTTTAAGGCAGAAAAAAAATTGCATAGGAAGTATGCTTACAAGGTAACTAGTTATAATTTAAGCAAGAAGGTACATTTGAGGTTGTTCTTTTGTGTCATCTTTCTTTGTAATAGCAGTTCTAAGATTCTTGAAGAGAAGTTTTTCCAATTTTAAAATAATATTGCTTATGAAATAATGTTGTTGTTTTTAGAGGTTCTCATCCAAGTTGTAGTGCATTTATTGAGACAGATCTATAACTAAATAATTCTTCTGCATTCACTTCTGATTTGCAGATCTTGTTAGGTATTAGGCAGTATTTAGGCGGGCTGCCAAATATGGTAAAAATCACTGTGCCGCCGGGACAGAAATTCACTATTTGTGGTGATGTCCACGGGCAGTTTTACGATCTCTGTAATATTTTTGACCTCAATGGTCTTCCATCGGAGACTAACCCATATGTAAGTTACAAAAAAAATTTTTTTTTAAAGCTTTTTCTGTTAGTGTCTTCAAGTTTTGTTGTACTTTTAAGTGTTAACTTTATAAATTTTGGGCTTTATTGTTTAGCTATTCAATGGTGATTTTGTTGATCGCGGGTCGTTTTCTGTTGAAACCATATTTACACTTTTTGGGTATAAGCTGCTGTATCCGGACCACTTCTTCTTGTCACGAGGTAAGATCGTTCAATTGGACCTGCAGTTTTATTCTTGTTCTGGGAATCTCTGTTTATTTTTTTCAATATTTGACTTTATTCTTGAAGGGAATCATGAAAGCGATGTAATGAACAAAATGTATGGCTTCGAAGGAGAAGTCAAAAGTAAATACACTTCTCAAATGGCTGACTTCTTTACTGAAATTTTTAATCACCTTCCTCTTTGTCATTTGATAAACGAAAAAATTTTTGTGAGTTTACTTTTTATTATTAAATAAGGTACTGCTAACACTGTTGTAATAGTTCCTCTGCTTATTCCGGAAAAGGCGATACTGTTTGGCACTAGAATTAAGTTATACTGTATAACGTTGTTTTAATTTATAAGTACTTTCTGTCTGCTTTAAAAGGCTCAAGGGTTTCCCAATTTCAAAATGAATTTTGTTCTAAGGTTTGTCACGGTGGTTTGATGAAGGAGGATAATGTTACCCTAAAAGACATCAATGCCGTAGACAGGGTGCGGCAGCCTCCTGAGGAAGGTTGTTTGTGTTTGCCATACACATAATCTTTATATGTAGGGTAACTTCTGCAGAATGTGTCTGCGTTTTGCTTAGACTTGTTGATACTGCGTGGGATCAGATTACCTTTTCATTTGGTTCTTTTTTTTAAGGGATAATGTGCGATTTATTGTGGTCTGATCCTCACGATTTAATGGGTAGGAGTCCATCTAAAAGAGGCGTAGGATGTCAGTTTGGTCCAGATGTCACTGAGGCTTTTTGCAAAAAAAATGGGATTTTATACGTTGTTAGGTGGGCTTAACGTTTGCCATTTTGCCATTAAACTTATTGTATTAACTGTTTATTCCTTGTAAATTTTTTAGAAGTCATGAGGTTAAACCAGAGGGGTACGAAGAACATCATGGAGGCAAATGTATAACGGTGTTTAGTGCTCCGAACTACTGGTAAGTTACTTTTCTTTTTTTTTCTATTTTATGTACAACACGGTGTTGGTTTCTTCCATGAAATGCACGTTAAAAAAAGCAATATTTGATTCTTTTACAGTGACACTATGGGTAATAAAGGCGCTTTCATAACAATTAAGGGCGACGACCTCAAGCCTAACTTCACCTCTTTTTCAGCCGTGCAGCATCCACCTGTAAAAGTTTTAAAATTTAATATTTGCTCTAATTTTTTTTTCAAGTTTGATGATGTTTTGAAGTTGCTTTTTTCTACGTTGTTCTATTTTTTATTTTTAGGTAAAGCCGATGGCGTTTTCAAGCAGTCTTTTCGGGTTGTAACTTGGTTTTGTATGTCATTCAGAGATTTATCAGATCCACTAAAATTATATGTGCTCGTAATTGTACGTTTTGCTCATGTGTTGGAACGTCAACCTTTAGTCGTTGCTTTTTTTGTTAGTTTTAATGTTAGAGTAGTTCTATACAGTTTTTCTTCCAAGGTCTTTTAAAATGTGATGTGAAGTTGCACAACATTTGTTGTTTGGTCAAGAGAAAATTGACATTATTTTTATCTCATGTTTAATGGTTATTCACTTAAGAGGAAATATAACTTTTTTGTTTCAAGAAAATATGGAATTTGCTGCCAGTCGACATCAATTTTGTTTGTTTTTTGTTGGACGGATTTTGTGATGTTTTTTGTACATGTTTGCTATTTCTAAAAGATGGTTTTAAGAGAGTTAAGATTTATTAATGGGTTCAGTTAAAACGATACTCCTGTTAAGCAGCTATTGACTGGGTAACTCTCTCTGAACAAAATCTCGTAGGTGGGACTTGTTCTGTGGTAATTCCAATATATGGAAGTATATTTGCTAATGAGTTTATTGGTATGAGAAATATTGATGTAATAGAAAGTGTTATGAATCTTCTTTGTAGTGTATGAAGTACAATGTTACTAAGGTCGAATAAAAGCTCTGAAGGTAGTATAGCTTATAGGAGAATAGGTTTGCTGACCGATTTATTGTATTTGCCATTCCTTTACTCATTTTCAGTGTTTGTTAGCATTCGTTATAATTTGATTTATATCCTGCAGGCTATTTTTTTTCAGTACTTTTTAGAATTTTGAAAAAAATTTGAATGTTGTACGTGAATAATTGTTTCGCACATTTGCGGCTGCGATACATTATTGCTTTCGATTTAACTTTAGTGTTAAGTCTTCTTTAATGGTTTAGTGTGACTTAGTTTATGCGCACCTTTGGGTGGATAAACTGTGGAAGAAAGAATATCAGATATTTAGAGTGGTCACTAGTCCAGTCGTGTGTGGCGATTCCGCAATTTATAACGTCAAGGTATGGGATCTCTTACTAGTCATAAGGTTCTCGTTTCCGTTATTTCGTTTACGGTGTTCTGTAATACAGCCATTATAGCTTTAGGATAAGAAAGATTTATTTTTGCTAACTGGTTGTGTTAATTTGGTCCATCCTCAATATGGAGGTGGGCCGTAGAAATGGTGTTTCCTGCTTATCTGCTGGAGGGAGATGCAACAGTCGCTTTATTGGGAATAGACGGAAGATACGTGAATTAGGCTCTGAAGTTCCACAAATGTACGATTATGAGTTCCTAAGCAACAAAGGCACCCAAATATACCAGAAGGATGTTAAGGGACACTTTGGTTGCGTTAATGCCCTTGAGGTGTCACCTGACGAAAGGCTTCTGGTCAGCGGTAAGTTCGTTTTCCAAAATGTTTTTTAAATAATATAAGTTGGAGTCTAAGGACTTGTTGTTTTATTTTATCATGTTTAGTTTATTGACTGTTGTAGTTGTTCTTTTAGGTGGGGATGATAGACGTGTTCTTTTGTGGAACGTCAGTGATGTTCAAGTGCAGGAGAGCCCAAATCCCATTGCTGTTATGGGGCAAATGCATTATTCAAATATTTTTTCATTAGCATTTTCAAACTAGTTAGTAGATTTGTCTAATGTTTTTTTGCTTTGTGGGAAGTTAATGGTAATTAGGACTTCTGTTAAGAATGCAGAAAAGATTTAAGCAGAGTTTTTATTGAATATCTTATCACGGCACTTTTTTGCAGTTGTGAAAAGATTTATTCGGCTGGTAATGATGCTTCCTTATTTGTTCATGATATTGCCACACGAGAAGTTGTGCACCATAAAAAAGCTAGAAGTGCTTTTTACAACATTTCTACAAATGTATATTTCTTTACTCGTTCTTTAAACAATTTTAACTGGATGAAAAAGTTGTTCAATATTAGGTTTGCGTGAGGTGCTGCTTTAAAAGCCTTCTTTTTAGCTTTTAAAGAAAGAGTGTAGAGTTTTTAATTTTTACTTTTTTCAGCCGATAGACGACAATCTGATAATTTCGGCGTCAGATGATGGAAAAGTAAGACTACATGACCTTCGGCAAGATGATGATACGGTCGTTGTTAAGCGGATTGGTAGTCTTTTTGACTTGATCTTGTGTTTGTTGGTTTAGATAAATTTAATATACTTTATTAAATAGACGCTGTCATCGCTACTACATTTATTTAAATATTGGTAAAATACATTGTTGAAAAGCAACTTTATTACTTTTCTGGAATGGGGAGACAGTTGGGAGCATCTTCATGTGTTTTTTAAGGAAATATTTTTCTGCTTTGACGTTAATTTGGGTTTTCAGGCTGCATGTATTGTGCTCAGTTTAATCCGCGGAAACCAAATATCATATCAGTTTGTAGTAAACAAGATGGTCTTGTGATATACGATTCTAGGAAGTGGGACAGGTTTCTTAGAAAAAGTCTTATCTGTGGTCATTTTATTGTAAATTAGATTTTTATAAAAAATGATGTGTTTTTCAACCCTCGTGTATCCGTTGGTTTTAGGCCTTGGATTCGGCTTTGCCGCTCTGACACCGGAGCTAATGGAGTTAATTGGTGTGATTGCTCAGTAATGTATGGGCAGTGGAATGAAACTGGCGATGGTTTATTTGCTGTGAGGAGTAGGTCAAGTCCGATCTATTATGACGTAAGTTTAAGATGTTATTATTTGACTTTATAATGCTGTTCTTCTTTGTAAATTGGAACTTGTAGAAGTGGTTGAAAATGTCTTTTGGTTTTTTGACAGATTTGTAGGGAATCTTCTTTAATTTTTGTTGAATAATTCTCTTTTAAGTTCAACACTGGAGGCTGTGTGGAATTCTCAGAGAACGGGTTTGTTAATTCTTGTACAGTGAAATCCTGTTCTTTCATTTCTCCTCGCCTTGTTATGACTGGTTCTGATGACTGGAACATTTACGTTTGGAAGATTCCCGATCTGGGTTGTGAAAGTAAATTAGTAGTAGTATTAGACTTAGCTGTGTAAATTATTTTAGTTTTGCATTGTGATTCTCAGCTATTCATCTTTTAGAAATTTATGGTTCTTTTGTAGTCACATTTATTTTTATTTGTGGAGTTAGCTATTTTTTAGAAAAAGTAGTAGATACAGCTTACCGTATTTTGGAAGGTCACCGGTCTATCGTTAATCACGTGAAGTATAGTCAACTAAATAGAATACTTTTTTCTTCTGGAGTGGAGAAAATTGTTAAGGTTTGCTAGAATTTTTATTTTGTTTGGCATGCCTCATTGGCTTGTATAGAACGTCATTTTGTATCGCGTTTTGCTTCAAAATTTACTGGTGAAAAATGAGCATAATTTGTTCTCTTTAACTTTAGTTATGGAGTGAGTTTGAGTTGAATGGCAGCTATTATGATCCTATCAGGAGACAAGTTATTGCACTTGATCACGATTTTGTGGATTCGAGTCATGAAGATAGCGTTGAAGAGGATTTGTACATGCTCGGATTCTTCGACAGTTTGACCGCTGTATGTTGATTTTTTTATTGTACAAGGATTTCCGGTCTTTTGTTTGTATCTTTCTACATATAGTTTTAATTGTGTGAAGATTTTTATCCTTTTGCTTCTGTAAACTTTGCGAAGATGTGTTTTTTGTTTCATACCGGCAGTTATTTGCGGATATGTTTTGCTTAGGTTAATACTTGCAGTATAGTTTCCATTCATAAACGGTTTAGTGAACGTGCTTGTATTTTAGCATGGGGGAGAGGTTAGTGATTCAGAAGATGGTTCAGATGACCGTGAAGACGAGAACAGTGATGATGGGTACCCTGGGCCAATACGCATTGCACACGACCTTGTAAGGGTTTGTTGGAAATAGTACTGTTGAAAATCTTTTACTTAATCGTGTCACTAACTTAGTCAAGGTTGTTTCTAACTGTCTTTCTGGATTACTTACTTCAGGAATCTGTGCGACGTAGAGGCGCATATTACGTGGTTTCTTCACCAGAGATGTCGGAACCAGAACTGCTCAGTAGTGAGGACACAGACCAGACGACGGATCAGACATCATTTGGGAGCTCTATTAATATTAGCAGTATATTTAATGAAAACCCCTCAAACAGTCATGAGGATATGGAAGTGCTCTCCAGTGGCGATCAGGATAGAAACAGTGAGGAGCTGCTCAACGATACTAATGACTTTTGTGAATCGAACGACTCGTCTTCAGATGAGGGAACAAGTAATACCGTCAACGGCGCAGAAAGTAGTGTGTGCGAGGAATGGAGAAGCAAAAAATGTATTATTTAGAACTGATTACTCTTCATTTCTATCTTTTAAATGACATAAGTATTCTACATTTTCTCTTCCCTCTAGTACAAGTTGTTTACGGTTTATGAGTTGTTTTTCGGTTTATTTTCTGAATGATTTACATCTGTCTGAATAAGACTCGAGGATTTCCAAGCCTCATTTTTTACATTTTTTAAATTTTCAGTGTTGTGACGGGACTTCATTATGGAGTGATTTTCAAGTTGTGCTCTAAGCCAAAATTTTCCATTTTGCATCTTCCACTATTTTTTAATGGTCGGAAATAATCCCTTTGGACAAGAAGGATTAATTGCATTAATCTGTTTCCATATTCGCTAGACATTTATACTGTCTGCATTTTGCTGTCGTCGAAATTCGAGATTCAAAATAGTACCTCGGGTATGTAAATAAATACATGTTTGTTGGATCAGTCTTGGATCATTTTCATGGCATAATTCCAGTTTTGCTCTGTTTTCTGAACTCCTAGCTGCATTAGAGGAGCATTAAGAACATTGGTCAGGACCGTTGTATTTAGTAGCAAAAGCTGACAAGATACGTTTTAGAAAATGTATTTATTTGTAAATAACAGGAGGGAGTGGTGAGGTTTCTTAATAAGACTAAGTCCTGCTTTGTTGCTACAAAATTTAATGCTTGATTTGTGCACGTGTCATATTTTGTAAACAGAATCTTATAGAATGTTGTATGCATATTAAAAGTTGAGCCTGTGTCCTAAAAAACATTTGCGTGAAACGTTGTAAATTCCGTTAACTGTGATAAGCTGTGAATTCTTAATGTGCAAGCTGCTGAGGGCTGTAAAGGATACTATGGTGGTAAAACAAGAGGGAGAGAGCTTTTTAATTCGATTGCAGCATTGAATAAGCGTATAAAGATCTTTTCGTCTTCACTCTTCTGTTGTCATCTGTTCATTATTTTGTAGAGGCCACTTGATTAATAAAGTTTTTTTAGTTACAACGTTGTCATATACTGATGTCATTTTTCAGTGTGTAGATTGTTTGTTTGAAGGTATTTGCTGTGCTTGATGGTTTTGCAGAAACAGTTTTGTTGTTGGAACAGTTGGGAAGGTATGAAGAAATTTTGGTTGATAAATTTTTGGGTTTTGCAAAATTGTCTTTTGATGGTTGGTATCTGTAACTGCTAATTATTTTTCTCTTTCTTTTTCAAGTTCTTGTGGTCGCAGGAGAGGACAGTTGATGTTTGATTTGGTGAACATCGAAGTCAGTGAGCCATACTGTGGTTAGCAATTCTGCAGGTGGAGTAGTATGTACTTCCTGTTTTGGTTTTCGTTGTTTAGGAAGCTGTGGTTTAAGGGAGTGGTTGGGTTGATGCAGTCTAGGGTTTTTGGTAACAAGTTTTTTTTTTTTTTTTTTTTTTTTTTTTTTTTT